ACCTGGGGCTTGGGCGGGGGAGGGGGACGCGCCCCCGCCCCTGCCAATAAGGAGGAGAGCCGGCTGCCTGCTACTCTCTGCAGCGGCCTCTGGCCTTCCAGCTGAACTCCACCCTCCCCAACGTCCGCCCTGTCTCCATCTCCCTTGGGTCTTGTCACCCGGGCTTCCGGGTCCTTAGTGACCCCCTGCTGACCCCCACGACTGCTGACTCATATTCTCCCGCCCAGATCCCACTCCCTCTGAGGACCCCAGCTGGGAGCGCGCCCTGCGCCCAGAGGCCCCGCCCTCGCCCACCGACGTAGAGGACTCCCTCCTTGGTCTTCTCTGCGGCCTCGGTGACCCCCTGCTTGGTTTTCTCCGCCCCAGCCACAACGCCCTCCTTGGCCATGGACAGGCCCTTCATGAACACGTCCATCCTGGCGGCCTGGGGAGGCGAACACACGGGCACCGGTGTGCTGGCCCCGCACCCTTACCCCTGCCCCTCTCGAGGGCGGCAGGTGTCCCTTCCCCTCCCTCCTGACACCGCGGCGCCCTTCTGGACCCCGAGCCCCTTCCCGCGTCCCTCCCCCTCCCGGTGCGAGACCTCTGGGCTGCGCGAGTCCTAGCGTCCTTGAAACCCGGGGACGCGGGCGGGGCGGCCACCTCGGTTATCCGGTGCCCTGCAACCTGCAGCTCCGCGGAGCCCGAGTGCGGGGCTAGGCGCGAAGGCCGGGGCCCCGCCTGTACACACACGACAGTCACACGGTCACGCTCACGTGCACATACAGGACACGCAGACGTTCAAACGCGCACGGACACTCTAACACACACGGGCGCGGACGCACGTCCACACGGCCCCCCAGACAGCTGCAGACACGGGGCAGACGCAGCCCCGGGGTGAGCACTGACGCGGCCCCGGTCACCCCAGCCCGCGCTCCATTTTCCATCCCTTCCCCGTCCCGCTCCAGTCTCCTCTCATCCCCATCCCTGGCGCCCTGCACGCAGCCGCCTCACCTGGAAGCGGGGCCGGGGCTGGGGATGGCGTTTTCCGGAGCAGGGGTGCACCAGTGCCCTGGCCTTGGGTGCGTAGCCAGCTCCCTCTCGCTCCTCGCGCCCAGCTCGCTCAAGCGCTCGGCTCCGGCTCCGGCTGGGGCTCCGGCGCTGCGGCAGCTCTGAGCTCAGCACCCCCCCTGGCGGCCGCACCGCCCCCTCGGCCTGACTGACAGGGGGCGGGGAGAGTGACATCTCCGCGGAGCAGACGAGCCTCCCGGGGCGGGCCCGGGATGCGCCACTGGAGATCCAGGGGCGTGAGGCTCACGGAGTCTCGAGGGGCGAGAGATGGGCAATGCAGCGTGCTAAGGGCAGGGAAACACAACGCCTTGGCTTTGGAGTTCGCATGGGTTCGAGTCTCTGGGGCTTCGGGGTACCCAGCCCTGCTTTCTGAATACCGTTCCCTCTTCTGGAAACACGGATGGTTAACCCAATGAATGCTATGGAGCGCTTTGACGGGGTGCAGGTCGGAGGCTGGAGAGAAGGGAAAGACAAGGTCCCTCTCGGAGCTTACCATGGTGGGATGTGTGTGCACAGGAGACAGGACAGAAAGGGAACACGACGTCAGGGACACCAGCAAGGCACTTGGGCACCTGACCGAGTGCTGGCAGGAGGGCGCTTGGGCAGAGTGAGTTGGATCAGAGAACCCAGCAGGGCTTGGAGGCTGGCTGGTGCCTTGAGAGCCATAGGACAATGGCCCTGAGGCAGGACCGTGCTTGGGGACAGCTCCAAGACAGAGCAGCTGGCCAGCCAGCAGAGGGGAGAGAGCCCTTTTCTGTGTGTGGTTGTGGTGAGGTGACCCTGGGGGCCTCTGTCAGGGCCCTGGTGGAGCTGTGCACAGGAAGCAGGGATCGGGAGGCAAGGACAGCTTAGGAGAGTTGGAGAAGGCCATGAAGAGGGTGGGACATGGGGCCAGCAGGGGGCATGGAGGTTAAGAGAGCTGGATTCCACATGGCCAATTCTGCAGTTTGAGTCCTGTACCCGGTGGCCTGAAAATCACCCTCTGTGTGTGTGTGTGTGTGTGTGTGTGTGTGTCTGCCAAAAATGCCAAGAAAAGGAATTGCGTTCCATCCCCACAGGGGTGATTTTTCATTTCTGCTCCTCTATCTCTCTGTGTCTCTCTGGCTAGCACACACACCCTTAAATAAATAGAGAGATGAGAGAGAAAGAGAGAGATGTGAGCTGGAGCCTGGCAGGGTGGGTGAGCTCTCACTGGGCAGACAGGGAGGAGGGGTTTAGGCCGTGGATACAGGCCAGGCAAAGGCACTGTGGCTAGAAGCTCAGGGTGTGTCCGTGACAGGGTGTGGAGTGAGGATCAGTCACAGCCAGACTGTGCAGGGTCCAGGATAGCAAGTTGGCATGGACTTTTGGAAGGTGATTTGGCGACATTTACCAGAGCATAAATGCCTGCTCCGAGCCAGCAGCTCCCCTTCCAGGGATCTATCCCGCGGATCTCGCTACTCGTACCGTGCACGGAGGCGGCCAGGCAGGGCTCGTCACTGCAAGATAACCTACTGTCCATCTGTAGGGGCCCAACACCCTGCCAAGTGCTACACCGAGGTTAGAAAGGATAAGCTAGACCATGTGACTGGCATGGGTGTGTGGAGAGAGGCAAGGAGCTGATTTTAATGCACAGACTATTATGTAAGTATACGACATATGTACTTCTTTTCCAAGTTTACTTGTGTCTTCCTGATGGTGAGAGAGACACTCCCAACAGGGTCTTCGCTGTGACCCACTCCCTGCCTCAGCCCACCAGGGTCTTCAGCACATGTACTGGGAGGCTTCGGGACACGAACCCAGGGCCTTCCCATGTGGCTTCAGCATCATGAGTGCTGTGTTACTGTGGCGCCACCACGGCCAGCCGCAAATCCATACATACTTAATTACAGTCAGCCCTGCAAAGAGCACTTCCGCCAGGACTTCCCAGGAGGCCCGGGGTGGGCCGGAGGTCCCCCAGCAGCTCTTGCATTGCCCGCGGTGGGGAGTGTGCTGTTCATTTTACCCTGATGGTGTTTGGCTTGCACAATTAAAAATTCACATGGGGGGACATCTGTAATTACTTTTATCTTTTCAGCTTTGGAATTGTCCCCTTGCTATGTGTGGGGGTCCCCACTGTATGAAACGGAGCCCACCTCCCCCTCTAAGAGCCAGCAGTGCCAAACCCTTGCCTTCGAGCCTTTCTTGCAGCCAGGACCCGGGGCTCACACGCGCGGCCTCAGGCTCACCAGTCCCCTCTCCCCGCCCCAGCCTCAGAACCAGAAGCAGTGCCAGGAAGCCAGGAAGAAAGTCCGCTCTGGTGAGGAGAGGTGGTGCTGGAGGTGGCAGCTCCCGCCGAGGACCGCGGGCAGCAGTGCCGCTCCTTCTGGGAGTGTCCACACCGGCAGGGCATGCTGTCCTGCCAGGACAATTATGCGTTGGGAAGGTCTTCAGGGCCTGCTTGGTAGTGGGACTGTGGCGGTGCCCCAGGCCGGGCGGCCTCCAAGGTGGGTTCTCTGGCTCTCCAGAGATTCTTTGAGCTGCCCAGGGTTTGTCAAAGTTCTTTTCTGCTGAAATTATCCAGAAAGTAGGTTCTGTGGCTTGCAGTGAAGAACTTCTGAATGTTGGGGAGCTGGTGATGCGGTGGCTAAGTGGCTGGATCCCACATGGCCGACTGCACGGTTTGAGTCCTAGACCTGGAAGCTTAAAAACACACCTGGATGCATGTGCGTGTGTGCCAAAGAGGAGAACGGAGAAGGATGGTAGGGTGGCTATCCCCCGGGGGATGCGTTATCACTCCCTCCCAAGTCTTTTGTAGATGAATGCACGTACCCTACAGCAAAACTAGGAACCAGCAGGTGGTGCAATGGTTACACTGCTGATGCACTCCTGATTCCCATGTAGTTGACCATGGTTCGAGTCCCAGATCTGGTGGCTTAATATTCATGCTGGGCATATGTGCATGTGTGCCTAGAATCCCAAGAGGAGAATGGAGAAGGGATTGTGGTGTGGCCATCCCCTCTAGGGGAATAATTTCTCACTTCCTGTCTCTCTATCTCTCTCTGTCCATCTGGCGAGCACATGCACCCTACAGCAAAAATCTCTCAAAAAAATTTAAAAAACAAAACCAAAAGAAAGAAAAAGAGAGAGAGAGAACCCCTGAGTATCAGAAGACACAAAGAAGAAGGAAGGCTGAAGAGGCCTGAGCAGGGAGGAGCAGAGGAAGGACCGTGTGCAGGCGTCTGTGCTCCCCACTGCAGGGAGTGCGAGCTCACCGAGGGCTTAAGCGCAGGAGAGACCTGATGACATTCACATGGATGGGCACAGGAGGAGGTGGGTTGGAAGGGGACAAGGCTATGGCATTGTGAATACGTCATTGGACTGATCACAGTTCGAGTCCTGGACCTGATGGCTTAAAAATCCTGCTGGGCGAGTGTGTGCGTGGGTGTGTGCTCTAGGTCCCAGAGGAGAATGGAGAAGGGAGTGTGAGTAGCCATCCCCCGGGGGGGTGATTTCTCACTTCCCCACTTACTGTCTCCTGCAAGTGCACACACCCTATGGGAGACACTGTGGAGCAGCCAGTCGGAAAACATGCGGCCTGTAGACACAGATTAAAAACGTGTTTTTGTAAGGCACTCTAACAGGACTATTCAAAACAGCTACATATGAAAACCAGAAAGACAGAGAGGCAGAAAGCAAGAAATCACCCTCCGGGGGGGGATGGCCACACCGCAATCCCTTCTCCTCTCGGGATCTTGTGCACGCACGCACACGCGCCGGATTTGAGTTTAAGCCACCGGGTCTGGGACTCGAACCGTGGTCGACTATGTGGGAGTCCAGCGACATAGCCATTACGCTAAGTGCTGGTCCCTCTATTATGTCTATTTTTAATCCACAGCCTTCCCCACTCAAAAAAACGTGTTTATGCCGAGCTGGTCTCTGCAAAAACCTCTAGAAAAAAATAGAAAGACCAGCAAGGGGCTGGGTTAGTCCACAGGGGGACAAGGAAGCAGAAGCAGGGAAGCCATGGTGAGCCTGGAGCAGGACTGAAGGGACAGATTTGGTGTCACCTAGGAGGTGACTTACTAGGTTCGGGGGAAGAGGAGGAGGGGGAGTCGAGGAAAACGCCCGGGTTTCCGGCTCGGGCAGGGTGGTGCCCGCTGCCCCAGGAGTGCAGCAGGCCTGCGGGGCGCCTCACTCTCAGCGAGGATGAGCTTGTGTGGGCCTGGCGCCGGCCTGGCAGACAAACTGGCCGAGGTGGCTAGCAGGCCAGCGGCCGAGCCCAGAGCTGGGGAAAGCTCTCCAGACCGGCTTCAGGCACGAGGGCCGTGGCGCACCTGGGAACCTGCAATCAGGCATGAGGCGCACTGGCTCTCCGAGTGGGCGGGAGGTAGATTGGAAGACCCTCCTGGATTGGTAGAGCTTGTCGGTGTGTCCCCGCATCACCTCCCTGCCACAGCTGACTCCAACCTGTGCAATGTCCCTGGACAGGGAACCGGTTTGGGCATACAGCGCTTTCATGTCACAGATAATGCAGTTAAAGCCGACTTCGAGGGCATAGACGATAGTAAAATAGAGACTTACCAGTTCTGAGTATTTATTATCTCTGTTTTTATAAGTTGATTTATTTTTCTGAGGGAGAGAGAAAACCTCTGACAGAGCCCCAGCACTGTGATCCCTCCCCAGCCAGCCTGGGTCACGGGACATGGCATACTCGGGGGTCTGAGGGCATGAACCGGCACCCTCCCAGCAGGTCCGCCTCATGCAGCATCAGCTTTTACTGCTGTGCCACTGTTGGGCCCCTGTCTTTCTTCCTTTCTTTCTTCTTAGCGGGGGTGGGGGGTTGTTGCCGTAAGGCACACGTGTTTGCCAGAGCGATGGGGAGGCAATGGCCATGAAGCAGCCCTTCTCCAGAATCCCCTCAGGGTTTCAGACACTCACGCACACGGGCCCCCATGATTTTTAAGCCTCTAGGTCCGGGACTCGAACCACAATGTTAGCCATGTG